TAAAAAGAATGTAAATTGAATTTTATCAATCAACCAGCTAATTTTTCAAATGATAAACTGATTTTTTTTGCTTTTTTATAATGGAATCTCAATCAACAGCAACACCAACAAAATGCCTTTAATGAAAAAAATTGGCTGATAAAAAGTTAGAACATAAGTTGAACTTTATCAATTAACTAGCAAATTTTTTAAACAATAACTGATTTTTTGCTTTTTTACAATAGAACTTCAGTCATCAATAATACTAACAAAATATTCTAATGAAAAAATTGATTGATGAAAAGCTGGAATATAAGTTGAATTTTATCAATTAATCAGTCAATTTTTCTAATGATAACTGATTTTTTAATTTCTATAATAGAATCTCAGTTGCAAATAATACTAATAAAATGTCTTTAATGAAAAAAATCGACTAATGAAAAGCCAGAATGTAAGTTAAATTTTATCAATCAACCAGTTAATTTTTCAAATGATAACTGATTTTTGCTTTTCTATAATAGAAAAAAGACAAAAATATGTCTATACAATATCATTTAAGAATAAGCTGATTGTTTTAGATCATAAGTTAGTTATAATATACTATTTTATATTAATATTAAATAACTTTTCAAATTATAGACATAGATTTAAGAGAAATGCAAAGACGATATGGGAAATTTGGCTCCTATTAAAATTTTGATAACAACCAATGGCAAGTACTTCAGCTGCAACTGAATTTAAGATTCTTGATAATTTGAATAATTTAAAATCAGATATATTATTTTTGATTTATTTCCATTCATTATTTTATAATTAACAATATATTTTCTTTATTCCTATATAGAAATTGAATGTTAAAAGAAAAATTTGCTAAATTATCAAGAGAATTGAGAAATTAAAATAACAAAATTCTGATCTCTTGAGAGAAAACTGATTTCTTACTAAAATAAATAAGGAATTCAGCAAGAAAAATGAAGATTTACAGGAGAGGTAAAAATTAGTATACTAATATCCTATATTTATAATAACTAATTTTTCTTTTTTAATATTTAAGACTTGACTAATTTGAGAGATTACAGTTGCTTAGATCATTAAGGCAGTCTGATGCTGATCCTCCTGCAAAATAAAGAAAAATCAGAAAATTGTCATCAAAATCAAAGAGAAAAAAATCAGTGATGAATTAGAATTGATGTAAAACAATTCTGAGGATGATGATAATTTAACAACGGAAGAAATTAACATAAAAGGAGCTAGAGTATATTTGAATTTATGTCTAAATAATTTAAATTTTTAGCTGATTTTTTTCCTGTTTTTCATATTTAAACTGAAATAAAGGTAGTTTTGAAAACTATCAGCTTAAAGAATGATTTGGACTATAAGAAACCTTTTAATAATGAAAAAAATGCTACATTATGTTGTAGTCTGATTTTAGAATTACAAAAATCTTTAGCTCTGAATTTTTAGTCTTCTATTAACCAATTTACGAACTGGCTGAAAATCTCTATAAATCACGTCAGTCAGCTTAAAGAATTAAGAAAAGAAGAAAGGATTCTTTAAAGCTGTGATGAATTCATAATAATAATTGAGTATATAAAGTAAATAAATAAAATATATTCTGAATTTAAGTCTATTTGAATTAATAATTTAATATCATTTATTATTTATTAAAAAACAGCTCAGCGAGTAAAGATTGTAAAGTATTTATTTAAAGAAAATGACTAACAAATTGCGAAATACGAAAGGTGACCTTACTCCAAATTCTTAATGATTACTTATACTATTCACCAGAAATCAGTAAAATGGATGAAGAAAATCATCAAAGATCTGTTATTACTGTATATGATTATTTTTGATAATCAGTTAAGGTTTATTATTTTCTTTATATAACTTAGCATATTTGAATTTATTTAGTATATTTTACTAATATTCTTTCTTATTTTCTTTTTTAGCTGAAAAATTTACTGAAAAAAGTACTTAATCCTTATACTGCTACATTATCATCATCTCAAATTTAACGAAAGAGAAAATACAATAATAATATATAGTATTATAATCAATAACATCCCTATAATACTCTAAAATAGTCATATAAAATATAATCTGATATAGTCTACGATATTGAGATTAAAGCAGATATTCCTATACTTATATTTAGGGTATTACAAGCTATTCGCAAAAAAGTAATATATAGAATTTTGAAAAAATCATGCTAATAATAAATTCTAAATATTATTATATTATTTATATAATTTTAGGGGAAAATTAATTGTAAAGTTAGTGTTTTTTTTAAAAATAATATTTTGCAAATTTTATGAAATTTGTATTGTATCCAGATATTTTAGTCAGCTGTTTACAGTACCTATTTTTTTGAGTTTTATATAGATAAGAACAGAGGTTATAGTAACTCTGATTAGTATTTATAAAAATAAGAAAGTGACAACTTCTATAACTAAAAGTGATATCTTTATTCAAATTTGATAGTAGTTTTAAAAGTTTAGAGATTTTAAAGCTTAAATTTTAAATGTTTATAATATAGTTACAATCCTCAAATCAGTATTAATAAGTAGATTTGATTAGAATTTAAATCTAACTATAACCTTAAAGGTCTAAAAAGATTAGCTTATAGAGTAACTCATAGTATATATAATAATCATTAAATAGATTTTTAAGAATCATTATTAAATCAATTTCACTTTTATGAAATTTTCTTTTTGACCAATTCTTTTAAATGTTCTTTAAAAGAATTATATACTAATTAATATTAATAGATTTTTATAAATATATTATTTAATTTTATTTTATTAAAAAATTCATATAATTTAATATTAATTTTAAATTTATCTAACTATTCTAAAACTAATTATAATACTAAAAGAATTTCTTCTTTACATAAAATTTATTTTTCTTTAAATATACAAATAGAAAATAATTTAATTTTATCTATTATAGTAATATAAAGTAATAAAATTTTTTAATACTAATAATTTATAATTATTTAGAAGAAAATCATCATAATTAAAAAAAAATCATGAAAAAATCATAATCAAAAAATATCTTAAATTTTTATTCTATAAAACTTAAATTAGTATTTTTATATTATCACAATTTCTGATTTTTTAAAATAAATTTAATTTATCAAATAAAGTATATTTATAATACTATTAAATAATGGTAAAATATCTTAAAATTTTTTGCCAAATATTTATAAAATTCTAATATATTCTTTTTTGTAAGCTTTATAACCAGAATTGACTCATTTGCTTATTTCATTAAGCTAACCAGTAATTGGATTTAGATGATCTTAATGTCATTGAAATCATCTTAATAAAAGGAATCTCACAGTAGTAATAACTTCTATCTTTTGTTTTATGATATATGAAGTTTATTTATGCTTAATAACTTTTGCTTTACATTTAACAACTTTTTTATTAGACATTTATATAAATTGATAAAAGTATGACATTAGTGTGTATCACAAGTATCATATATTAGATGAAACTTATCCAGTATCACCATAAAATTTTTGTACCGCCATATTTACCACCTTGTGTTACACCCTCTGCGTTTCAATTTTTTATAAGTATTCTGGTTAGATTTAAATCATTTTTTGGTTAATCTAGTTTCGGTTCAAAATCGCGATTTTTTTTATTTTTTAAATTTTTTAATTTTTTTTTTTTTGAAAACTTTTTATTTTAATAGTTTTAGTTTTTTAATATTCGCAATTTTTAATTAATTATTTTAATATTGAACTTTATTTTTTTTAATTTGTATTTATACAGTATAATCCCTTATTTATTTTTTTAATTTAATTAATTTATTTTATTTTCGGATTTAATTTATATAGGGTGTTTTCGAACACCTAATTCAATGGATTGATCAATTATATTTGATTAATCAATCGAATCTTAGAGTCGAATCTTGAGAAATGAAAACCTCGATTAAATCGATTCTCAAATCGATTCTAAATTTCGAAATCCCGATCACAAAATTCTGCGCTTATTGCATAATTATACAATTATTATTAACCATTGTAAGTCGTTAATAATAAAAAAATGAACTAATAATTCAGGGGTTCTAAAGAATAAGAAAATAATGTTTCCTACTCTAGGACAGTTCACCAATATGCTCATGTCATATAGCGCATCGAAATATTATAAAGGATTTAAATTAAAATGCATGAAAAAAAACCTTAAAGAATGTGTGACTCTTCAAACCATTACATACCGGTACATAAAAAAAAAAGAAGTCTAAAATTATGTAACTCTTTTTTTTATTCGAATGCATTTTAGTTCTAAATCTAAATATTAGGCCTATTCATTTCCGATCGTTCGGATTTTTGACTGGATTTTGAATAGTTATTTGGCTGATGAACTTTATTTCTTTCACAGCAAAATTTATTCCCACAACAACAACAGCAAAAAGTTCTTTCTGATTTGATTTAATAAAAAATAGTTTTCGGCATGTCATTATTACATTATTATCATTATTATTAAAAAAGGATCAAAAATTCGTACTTTGATCACGTTTTAGGATTGGTTAATGGATTTGCGATGATTATTCTGAACAATCAGACTATTTTCTACTGACCATACATTTTCTTTTTTAAGGAATAATAAACGTAATACATCAATGTTTATGTTCTAAACAAGTTATCGAATATCTATATGAAGAACGTGAAGAACGTTTGTCATTGATTTGTGCAATATAAGTGTTACCGGTTTTTTATATAATCATAAAAGAATTAAAATATAAGTCAATGTAACATTTAATTAACCAAATTATTATTTTTATGACAAACAATAAAAAATTTTTTATTATAAAAGAACTCTGAAAAACCCTTCCATCGAAAAAAAAAGTATTAGATTATAACAAAAGATACCATCAAAAATCATAAAAATACCTTCGTAAACCCTTTTAAATTCACAATTTTAAATAAAATGACACACAAGTACAATAATAAACCTTCACAGAAGGTCAAAAGTATACTTGTAATTATATGAACCGACTAACTTCTGGACGAGAGGAAGAGTATCCGAGAAGAAAAATAATATTATCCGTAAAGAAATTGGAGTATACTCGGATACTGCTAATCAAGAATATTCTGACACAGCTGGTCAAGAATATCTGAATACAGCTGGACAAGAAGATTATCCGAATACTTCTTGGCAAGAGAACCGCCTGGATACTGTTGGGCAATAGGTGGTGCCCAGCAAACGTTATACATGAAACATTTTTGTTTTTTTAAAAAAAAGCAAAACAAGGTTATAGGGTCAAAACACTTATTAAAATCTCTTTGACAAAAAAAAAAATTATCTTCACTATATATTTCAATCATGAATTATTTAATAATATTTTAAAAAGTTCATAATTTCCATTTCCTTTACAAAGGCATTATATCCCTTACTTGAATTATTCAATCAATCATTTTGTAACATTTAATTTTCTTTAACATTTAAAATTATTTTATTTATTGAGGAATTAGAAACATTCAAATCATTACTTCGTTTTAAATATTTTTAAACATAAATTATCAAATTATTATGATTTTTTCACAATCAACTTTAGTAGTTTCTGTTCTATTGTATTTAAACATCTTGAGTTAATGATTTACTGATGTCATTGGTGTATCTCCCACGTGATTAGTAATTTTATCAATAAAACTAAAAAAAAAAATTATTCAAAATAATCTTCGCAAGGGTCTAACTGAACATACTGTTATTATTCATCGAAGAATTTTATTGTTTTCAGAACTTTATATAATATAGCTTTAAATAAATAGGAAGAAATGCTTCATGCTAAAAAGTCATTTGGGCGATTATTATAGATTCAAGATAATTTTTCTTTATTGC